GGAGGTCTCAATCATCCCCCCCCCCCCCCAATCCTTCACCAATCTCAAAAGCTTCAAATTCCTAATATCCATATAAGGTCGGCAACGTAATCGTAACTCTTCCGTTGTTGCGGGTGTCCATGAGCGGTACTGATTGCTTACGATCAGTCAGCTTGTTTGGCGTATTATCACATAAAAAAAAATCCTGATATTTTTTGGTCGTCGCCTCCCCAGCCGAGGTTACTGGTGCAAGCACCGTAATGTACAGTGACTCTAGTCGGCCTAAGTTTGGAGTAGGAAAAGCACTGGATTGGTTTTTAGTCAATAAAAGTCTGACACTCCCTCTCAATCCATTCAAGGTAGAAGAATTAATTGGATGATTTTCGTACCCTTTAAGCACAAGCCCGTCTCGCCGTCTTCACTGTTTTTAAACCTATGAAAAACTCACAATTCTACGTTTATATAAAAATATTTAAAACAAAACGTTGGCTTATCTATTCCTTTGCGCGTGAGTGAATATTCGGCCCAACGAGCAGCGAGGTGACTTGAATTTGGTCACAAGTACAATAAACTATCAATTTAGTAACTAAACTAACTAAAGCTATAGAAAGGACTAATTTAGTGTTAAATCCTGAGTCGAAGCCGTAACAGGCAAGATATTCTTCGTCTTAAAGCTTCATGACATAAAATATAACCAGCAACCATTCACTTAATGTGACATAAGTATCTGTAGTTTTTGTGGGTGAAATATTTTATGCAAAAGTTGCATGAGTATCTATGCCACGAGAAAAACCTCCTAGAACTGTATTTTGATAAAAAGAAGTCGCTTAATTTGTTTTAACAATTTGATTTATAAACAAAAAGTATCAAAAACACATCAGCATCTAATTACAAAATGACTTCCAGCCGAGCACCCTTTACAGGCGGCAAAAAATTCGGCCACTCATTAATTTGTTCCGTAGCATAACCTCTAACACTGCTTGCCTTTTTATCATTCCTTTTACTTTTCTTAGCATAAGCCTTCTTGTATAGATTACGCCAATCAGCTTCCTTATTGTTTCTTATTTTTGGAAAATCTCTTCTTAAAAGACGAGACCAAACGTTTTCATCCTTTACAACTTCACTCAACTTTTTGCAAGATCTACCAACATTTAGGATATCATTGAGGGATAATAAGACAAAAATTTGGTATAACACATTATTGGGTAAACCTTGTAAGCTGCAACTGGGTTGTTTGTAGTACGACAGGACACTGGCTTTCATTGGAATCACAATTTTCTCTCTCAAAGAATTCACCAAGTCAGGCAATTGACGAAAACTGGACGGAATGCCTAAAGAAGATGTTTCCATGTACTCATCAATGGGCACACATATCGAATGAGTGTCTTTAGCAGCGTCAATGAAAGCATTAATCAACAATGCACCATCTAAGGAACATACTATGACATTCACTGGACAACCTCCATAACGATTCAAAACAACACAAACTTCACGAACTTTATCATCATCCCTTTTTTTAGTTAATATGTAATCTAAAACATCAATTTCTCTGTTCCCTTTTAGCACGAAATCATTTTCTTTGATCACAATAAGTAGAACTGCAAAGAACAAGTCTCGTTTCAAAGTTTCGGGCTTGATTAACGCTTCTATCAATGCGTTCAGTGTTTTGTGGAACTGGGGCGAGATCGCCTTATTCATGTTCGAAGTAAGACAACACAACCAGTCCATTGTTTGGCGCTTTTCAAGATTTTCCAATGTTTTATTTTATTGCCTATTAAAAATTTCCTCAAAACTCTCTTGTGCTACGTGCTAATCTGGACGTCATCTTGACATTTGAGATTTATGTTTTTTATCAGCTCGATGAGTTTTTTTTGTATTATGAGGTGATTTATGAATCGAATTAAAACTTTTTTCGTCGTGGACTTTGAAAAATGTTTGGTTGGTGCTCTGTTATTCGTTTACCTGAATTCAAATGTTCAACTAAGCTTCTTATTTTGAACAGTTACAGTAAATTTGTGAAAAATTAAAAGGGAAAAATAAGCATTAACTTTTTGTGCATAATTATTTTTAGTTCCAAACGCATTTTACCATGTCAAAGTCCAATCAGAATACAGCACAAAATGAATGCATTAAAAAATAATTTTTAACCATAAAATACATAAGTAGAGTCGCTAGAGCTAATCCCTCTTTCTTAATTAAACTTAAACACAGAAATCCGACACAGAATTTTAATGAAAATTCCTTTGTTGAGGCTAAGCTTCGATTTTAAAATATTTACTATTAAAGTTGGTCGGGACAATAGCGGTACTATAATGAAGGAAGGAAGTATTTCAATGGAACATTTTGTCCTACATTTAATATAACAACAAAATATATTTGTATCAGTTATTTTCTTCTTCTCTTATTTGCTTCTTATCTTTGGTAGTTCTGAGAAATACAATCTTTCATAATGTTTTCTGATATTGACGTAGAATTACTCGTTGATATTATAGTTTCGTGAAACCTTTGACGGTTTGTATGAATATTGCTCGATCTTGGTTATCGGTTCGACATATTGGTATTCCTAACTAAACATAAACTAAATAATATTATTGGGCTTCTAATACTTTATTATATGAGATGCTACTTTATTTGTAAACGGTTATGACTTGGAATGGCTGAAGATGAAAATAAAAATATTAATCTCATTCGGGGTTGCGGGGAAAGAGCAATAATTAAGCGAGTCCTAGGTCTTTCTTTCTTCTTTCTTTTTTATAAAAACGTTGTCCCACTTTAGGATTTTCTCCTGTGTTGTGGGTGCGTTTACAAACATACAATGTCACATACACATGACACCCAGACCAGAAACAACAATTTGTGGATCACACAAAGTGTTGTTCCGTGCGGGGATCAAACCCGCGAGACACAGGTCTGGAACAGGCGAAGGAGTGTTTTTTAGTAAGAAAGAGTCTGGCACTTCCTTTCTCCCCACCCAGATTAGGAGAAGTAAAATGGCAATTTACACTTCTTAAAACAAAACTTAAAAGTTATTGGTATGGTTTGTATATAAAAGTGTGCTTAAAGGATTTCACCTGTCTTGGATTCTTTGTATCTCTTAATGTAAGTGTTAATTAATAGTTTACACTTAAATGCAGCAATAAAAGAATTTCTAGAAGATTGAATGTTGTGTTTCGTGTTTTACGACTACGTTGGGTTTTACGTGAGTTCCCGTTTTTTTGGGAAAACACTGCTATTTTATTTATTTTTCAAATTGCGTTTAGCGTCTCATTTCTCCGAGCACACAAACTAAGTTATTAAAGAAAATTTGTGCTCATTTTATAAACTCATTCGGCTGTATTACCGATCATTACATAATCATAATTGATCAATGGATTAGTTCTCGCATCAGATGGTTCTAAATCTAAATTTACCTTTACCAATAGATAGACTGAATCAATATTGAAGGTAACATAAACTAGTTTAATGTAAAAGATGGATGGTGATTAAGGCAAGATCTTCGATTTAATGGTTCGGCCTATCCAATTTAGGATAAGACTTTTTTATCTTTAGTTTAGGGTCGTCTACATGTAGCCTTTAACACCTTTAAAATTTAGTTACTATTCTTAATGTTTTGTAGTAAACATATGTGGAGTTTGAATTAAAAAATAAAATTAATACTAGCTTTCGCTCGCAGCTTGATTCTATTATTGCTTACTTTACCTAATTATTTATTCGTTTATGTACCAACTCTATACACCCTACCAAACTACCTGGCCAACGTTTTTACTTTATCCTGATAACGACAAACGCAATATAAAATGAATAAGCGAATTCGGTTCAACTGTTTTCAAGTTTCGTGCTTAGCAAGACATTCAGCGATTTCTTACTACATTAAAGACCGATTACTTAGGGGGTGATAATACATATATAATTAGCTTTCGCCCACGTCTTTGTACGCGTATAAAAGTACTCGTAAATCAAGTATAAGTTATAGCCTAGACTACTAGCACTCAGAAACATTGAAGCAATCTATAAGTTAAAGAATTTTGCAGTTCCAAAGATAATGCCCTTCATACAAATTCATAAATTTTATCTCTTTATAATATCACAGAAAACTGGCGTGAAAAAACTACAGCGTTGTGTTTCGCCATGTGAGTGAGGTTACCGGAGGCCCAATCCTTCCCATCCCCCAATCCCTCCTGAAGCCCTAAATCTCCAAATCCCTAAAAGGTCGGCAACGCACTCGTAACTCCTCCGTTGCGAGTGTACATGAGTGGCGCCGATTGCTTACCATCAGGTAATCCGTTTGCTCGTTTGCCGACCTATTACATAAAAAAAATATTAGTAAAAGATTTTACAAAGATTTTTATGAAGAAATATGGTGGGGTACCTACCGGTGATCGAAAGACATCTATCGTACATAAAATTCAAAGAAATAAGTAGGAAAACTCATAAGTATGGTAACAAATGATAAAATCGTTTTCTCTAATTATTTTCAGCGAACTAAACAGAGATTAAAAAAAAAAACAATATTACAGGGTATTATACAATAGTTCAAGGACTGACTAATTATATACAATTACAGGGCTAATGTAATTTCATACCTTGTAATTATAGCTGTAATTTGACCTTTACCTAAATTTTGATGGATTGACTAGTTTTTACCCAGGGCTTTACTTCTGCGCCATAATAAGTACAAACTTATCATAAGGATTAGACTTTTTGACACAAATTTACAATATTGTTTGCATTCACTTGTGAAATGTTTGATATAAACAAATCAACATTCATATATTTTTATCTATTATCTTATCTTTCTAATATTATAAATGCGAAAGTTACGATGTTTAGATGTTTGTTACTCAATCACGCCAAAACGGCTGGATGGATCTGGATGAAATTTTACACAGGCATAGGATATACTCCGGAATAGGACATAGGCTACTTTTTATCAAAATACCACGCGGGTGAAACCGCGGGCGGAAGCTAGTAACCTATAAGTTACAGATTGAAAACTTGACCGAAATATATTTCATTTTCAGCCAAAGCTCGAGATGCATGGAAAGCTCCGATGAAAGAGATTGATGCAGCCTTAGTGGCTTGTACGTTTGGGAGGTTCCATATAAAGCTGCTATCTACAGCCTTCGTCGGTTTTATGGCTGGAATTCTGGCTAGTTCCACGACAGCCTATCTGCTGCCTAGCGCAGAATGTGACCTGAAAATGGATTTACTGCAAAAAGGATTGTTGAATGCCATGCCATATGTGGGTAAGTAAGATTGAACTGTTTTTATATTTACAGCATAGTGAAAAGGTCTATCCACGTTTTTAACAATTGTTACTCATTTTTTTGAAATGAATGTCAATGAAATAACAAATGTGTGAATCATTGACAATGGAAATATATCGGTAAGTAAATAAAACCAGCTTTATAAAACATGTCTAGTCACAGCCATTAAATCCCTAAAGATCTCATACAAAAAAACCACACAAAATAAACATTCATAATAAGAAAATCAACAAAAAATAACCATTCATTTTCTTTTGAACAAAAAGAAAGATTTCACAAAAGTCAAGAGAGACAAGGTTATATTAGAAATTATTTCTTATAATGCTGAACACATCAGTAACGTCAAGGAATAGGTTAAATTTATAGCACCAAGAGTTATGCGGGCTAATGGAAAAGTAACACCTGGACGTAAATTTATAGCTAAAGGGACATGCCAGGAGGTCGAAGGCACAAGAAATGGCAGCGAACCGAAGCTAACTATTGCGATCGATTCCAATGCATGATGAATGAAGGTTGAAGTATCGAATGGAGTACGACTTGCACTATTATAGACGTTTCTAACAGAAACTTGACCAGGTTTGGGATTTGTTAGTGATAGGGATGAAAAAATGATTCTGAGACTGAATTGTCGACAAATTTGTCGTGAATACCTAAGTTTTTTTTATTTTCAATTATTCGCATTCTGAGAAGAGGCTTTAATGAATTGCACTTAGTGTTTCATATTTTTTATATGAAAACGTTGCCCTACACTAGGATTTTTTCCTTTGTCGTAGGTGATTTAAAAAAAAAAATAACATAAAATAAAACAAACAAACAATGCAAGAATCGAAACCGCGATACGTTGCACGGCAGTCAGAACTAGCCAACTGTGCAGTAAAACATTGGACTTGTATAACAATAATTGTAACACTTAACTGACAAAAAATTACTTGACCTTTTATAACCTCAAATTAAACGCTACTACCTCTACCTACCCCTTAAAATAAAGCCATGATGATAGTTTGTCCTATGTGGCATTTAATTTGACCTTAATCTGTATTATTGCCTAGGCCGATTGTCTACAATTTATAGGCAATAAGTCTACCAATAAAATTAACTTTTCTATGAATACCAAATGAATTTGTTCACAGGAATGCTGATATCATCTGTGGTGGCTGGTTTCCTAACCGATGCGTTTGGCAGAAAGATATTTCTGGGAGTTGGATTCATTGGATTATTTATATTCCAACTAATTGGTGGTTCCAGCCAAACATTCGAAATTCTCGCTACAGCAAAGTTTTTTGAAGGATTACTGTGAGTGCATTAATTTGTTTTATTTAAAAAAAAAATACTGTTAGTCGTTTGCTCATGCGCTGTGTTTGTTTTGTCAACAAGTATTTTTCTTTATTTAAATATACTGCGAATTATTAAACGTACCTTTACGTTTGAAAATGAGTCAACGAAATAGGAGATTTTATTTATTAAATTTATTTTTAAAGGGGAAGTATATCATGTTTATTAATCTGACAATTACACAAATGAGAATGGATTAAAGTGCAGGTATTTTAAAGTAGCTTCTATCTGCGACTTCACCCCTGTTTTACGTTGTTAAAAAGTAGGTAGTCCATGTGTTATCCCAGAGACTAAATTTCAACCAAATAAATTCAACTGTTTTTGTGTGAAAGAAATACATACATGCTTAAATTCTTACAAACTTTCACATTATAATTTTAGCAGGACATTAATACGTTTATTATAAAGCAAGCCTGTAACCTGCATAAATAAATATTATTGGATTCTTTTATTCTAGCGAAATTACTATTAAAAAAATAATGTAGATATAAATATCTTGTTATTTGCATTTTAAACAAGACAAGAAAACAGACTCGACAATTTGGACACCTTTGTTGTTCTTGATCAAAACCGCATCAAAACAACATTTTAATTGCATTCAACTCAAAGAATACGCAGCGTAATTTTGATCTAGACAAAAACGTTATATTTTAGGTCTAAAAGCTTTTCTCTTGTCCTAATAAAATTAATGTCTAGTCTGAATTATTCTCAGTCATGTCTCGAACTTTTGTACGATATTTTTTTCTTTACATTTGCCCCGTGAAGTCAGACTTGGAATTCTAAGCATTGTTTTAAGACAAAAGAGTACTGTTTTAAACTTGCCGTAATTATTCCGTCACAATAGAATTTTCTGGATTTTGTAGTGCACTTTGTAATTAAAACCGATGGTTAAAAAATCTTTGTTAAAATGTCCATGTTAGGACAAAACTGCAGTTGCTTTTATAACAAGAAATTGATGTTAACATCCTAAATGCATAAAAACTGAGAAATTAATCAAAGAAATTGATTCTTTATATTCTTGGTCGAATATATGTTGTATGTAACTTTCAAGTAAAATAGGTAATCGTCAAGTTTATACTCTAAATGTAAAAATTCTTAGTTAAGCTAGAGCATCACTTCTACATAGGTACTTCGAATCTAGTTAGTCCCGATTTCTTCTTTTATTTTTCTTTAACCGTTTGTTAATTATTTTTATTTTTTATTATTATCATCAGCCTATAAGTGCCCACTGCTGAGCAAAGGCCTCTTCTCAGACGGAGAAGGTTTGAGCATTAATCATCACGCTTGCTCAATGCGGATTGGCGATTTCAAACTTCTAATTCGTAATTATAAGTCCAGGTTTCCTCACGTTGTTTACCTTCATCTTATATCAGTGGCACTTGCCAGGTTTCGTAACCACAATTGTGTATTTTCAACTAAATTAAAAATTGCATATAATTTCGAAAAAGTACTATTTGTACCGTTACACTTTTATCACACCAGATTTTCAGTTCTAAAACTACTTATGTATCAATCAGTGTACATATACCTATGTATAGTACAATTCACTCGGTACCAACCTCAAGGATCGATCGATTTCATAACAAATCGAGAGTATTCGTGGCTCGATGAACACGTAAGGCCGCCGTTCCCGGTTGTCATATGAACACAAGACTGTTACTGTAATAGTTCGTGTGTGGCTTTGAAAGCACGACTCAATATATTTTTAGATATGTTTGAAATTGATTTCTAAGGAACGAGTTTTTGTAAGACGGTCATCTAGTTTAGCGTCACATAAGTAGAAAAATTATAAAGATTGTATTGAAGTAGTCGCAAAGGTGACTGCTGAGCAAGGGGATTAGGGTTCGATTCCCGAGTGGTACAAAATATTTTTTAAGTTTTTGGTTTAGTAGTTTAATGTAAAACCCATATTATACTTTAATGTCGTGGTGGCCCGCAGCTTAAGGCGCCCGCTTCTCATGCATGAGGGTGCGGAATCAAAACCTGGAAAGTGCTAATGTGACTACGACCGAGTTTTATTTACTTTATAAGATTATTTAGATGCCACTGATATACATATGGTTTCGGACAATACCACGAGGAAAAGTGGTATAAGTTAGAAATTGTCAACTCGCATTTAATAAAGCTTGTTAAATTATAAATCTAAATAATAAGTCAAAATTCTCCTATGATATTTTTCTTCATTCATGTCAGTAGTGTCTACATAAACTAAGAAAATTACTACATACAGCATGGGAAAAGACACATTTATTTCATTCCTTTTTCATTATAAGAAAATAAAAAGAACTATTCAAATATACCATTTAATAATACCATCTTTTTTCTCCTTTCAGATATGCAACGGCTTTCAGTGCCTGTGTATCCTTGACCGCTGAATTCTCATATTCTAGCATAAGAGATCGTATGCTGTTATGCCAGTCTTCCTTCATCGCTGTGTCCCACGTGATTATAGCTGCTATGTCTTGGGCCATACTGACAAATGATTGGAAGTACTCCTTCTTTGATGGAAAATTTGGTAAGCAACTTTGAGTGTAATAAAGATTAATTATTAAATAGCTTAAAAAAATGTGACAATGTGAAAAGACCGATCGAATCCATTTTGTTTTTCATTAATAGTATCTTATTTTGCCTTGGCGCCTCCCATAAATTGTATAGAAACTTTCATGATAATTGGTAAAGTAGTTTTTGTTTAAAAAAATATCAAAATTTCCCGCTTTCACTTTATAATCTTAGTGTCTAGCTCTCTCTTCTTCTTTTTCTCGTGATATTCTTTAGATCAACGAGTGGGTTAACATTTTCATCTCTATATGAATTATTTTAATTTAACACAATGACATAATAATATAGGTCGGATAGACTCAACGCTCTTCAAAAATTCATCAGGTGGGATATTAAACTCATGGATATGACAAAACACTGAACGGATTTCTAGACTCGTATATCCATGCTTGGCAGTTTGCAAATAGAATATAACTAGCATTAAAGCGTATGTTGACTCACATTTGGTTTAATTAGTACTTAGTTATAAATATTTTTTATTAAATGTTTATCCATCTGTTGATGGTTTTTATAGCTATTAAGTTTTTGCTACAAATATTATTTGGTCTAAGTATACTAATATTATAAATGCTAAAGTAACTCTGTCTATCTGTCTGTCTTTTCTTCACGCATAAAACTACTGAACCGATTTCTGTGAAATTTAGTACAGATATAGTTTGGAACTCAAGATAGGACGTAGGATAGCTTTTATACCAAAAATCTGCACGAAATCTCTATTCCACGCGAACGGAGTCGCGGGCAAAAACTAATCCGTCATTCATAAATAACATAACAGACTCGTTAATATTCAAACAAACATTTTCAACTAAAATTTCAATAAAAAAAACCTTATTGTTAAAAAGAAAACACTTGAGATAAAAACGAACGTCCTTTCAACTGACATTAATCCTATATAGGTCTATTTTTCAACGCCTAACTCGGGCCTAAGCCTCAAAGTACCGACGTAACACACTTCAGGTTAAGTCAGTAAGCATGTTTGCTTAGACGCTCAACAATAAATCCCCACAACAAAGGGCTAAACTTAAAAAAGAGATTTCCGTCAACCTTTCTGAATTTCCCCAGTAATTGTGCTGGCCCACTTGACCTTTGAAGCGAAAGACATTTTGTTTTACGACCTTCGTGGTTTAAAACGGGTCTGTTGATTGTGATGTTTGATTCGTTAGTGAAAAGGATTTTTTATTGTAGTCTGTTTAAAATGTTTTTCTAGTAGAAAACAGAAATACCTCATAAAATAGTGCATTTCAAAATTGAACCTTATTATTGTATTATAATTTTTATGATTGAAATGTATTCTTTTTTGAGTTAGACCTCTTTTCTTTTAAGCTAACGGAATATGTACTTTAAATGCATGTTATTAAGAGTTTTTAATATAATAAAAGAAAAAATAAAAATACTGACAAAAAATTGTTGAAGATTAATCCTTCAATAACGCAATTCACTATTAATGCCCACGGCGTTTAACGTGTTAAATGTTTCAGAATATAATCAAATTTGACAGTTTTTATTTATTTTTGGAATTTTCAACAGTTGCTAGAGACATCTGGAGCTATATAATATTCCTTCAGTAACTTTACCTACACGACACACATCATCGGCCTATAAGTGCCCAAACTAACCAAAGGTCTCTTTTCACACGAAGAAGGTTTGAGCATTAATCACCTCACTTTCTAAAAGCAGATTGCTTTTGAAAATTGGTATTTACAAATTGTCAGTCCTGGTTTTCTCACGATGTCTCTTTCGCCGTTGATCACGGATGTATTCGTGTTTGTCAGGGACTTGATTCTCATCTTTTTAGTCTTGATCTTAGTCTATATCAAATGAGCAATCCCTCGATGTACTCAACTTTAAAGACACAGAGAAAAGAAAGAACGGTATTGAATATACTCTACTCGCCTGACATAAGACTTACTTTTGCCTATTTCTTTTTTCACAGTACTAAATACTTGGAACTTCTATCTATACTTGATGTCCCTATGGGCTTTAGCAGCGTTTGTGATGTACGTGTTCTGGTTGCCTGAAAGCCCAAAGTTCTTGGTGACACAAAAGAAATATGACCAAGCCAGAGAAATACTTATCAGGGTCTACGTGGAAAATACTGGAAAACCTGCTGATACTTATCCGGTAAGAGAATTGAATGTTGCTTTTCTATAAATCTGTTGTGACTGTTACGTAACAAACTCAATGTAATAGGCGGTGACTGTGGTGAGCCTATATCGTGCTCCTGGTATATTCAGCACTGGACGTCTGTAAGCTAAAATAATGAACGTAATATCATACTCAAAATAGTTTTGTCAAGGTCATAAATCAGAACTATTAATAAAATGAAAATGCCAGTTTACTGCCTGGTTATTTAAAAAAAACTGAAAAAGAAATCGAGGAAAAGGAAAAAGAAATCAAGCGTTACTTAATTTTTTATTTAACTTACTTACTTAATGTATGTAAGTACCTTAGTAAGTAGAAAAGTGTGGGAGAGCCAAGCGGCATGAATGGGTCGGCTCGACCGGAGTGATACCACGGCCTCACAGAATACCGGCGTGAAACCCACAGCGTTGTGTTTCGCCTTGTATGTGAGGTTACCGGAGGCCCAATCCCGCCCCTTTCCTTATCCCTTCCCGATCCTTATATCCGCAACCCCTATCCCCAAAAGACCGGTAACGCACTCTTTGGTGTTGCGGGTGTCCAACACAAAAAAAAACCTACATGTGTGTATAGGAATCTGGCAGCTAAATTAAATTCAATCGAATGAGCTGAAATTCTGATATTTTACATGAACATTAATGCTAAACTATATAACTTCGGTATAATCTTCAATAAAGTATTGATATTAATACTGAATCTCATAAAAGATTTATTTTTCATTTTCCGTAATTACAAAGGAAATTGTGTAGAAGTTAATAATATGATTATAATTACAATTTATACATAGGTATATGTATAATATTGTTTGTGAAATGTATGCCAAGAGCATGCATAGCGCATTATCGATAGTCTACTTGATTAGTCAGCTAATTAGATACATAATTATGTTATTATTAAGATTGAATTTAGCATAATTGACTACTTCATTGGTCCAATGGTCGTAAGTGCGACTCCTGAATTTGTAATAACTATATTCCACCTACCATTCCATATACCATAACTTAATAATTTTATTCCACTATCGTACAACCAGACAACTGGTAAAACGTCATCGTTTCATGGTGGACATTCCACCCACACGCACGGAAGCAGCGGTTTGCCTCAGAACGGCTAAGGAGTGGAATTCTTTGCCGGAGTCTGTGTTCCCAAATGAATTGCTTATGGGTATGCGTGCTCCATCGTAGGTCGCACCATCGCCTGCCATAGACATTTTAGTCGTCAAATGCCTGCCCATTACTTAATAAATCAAAAATAACATTCTTTGTGTTTTCGAATTCGTTATTGTGTCAAGTATTTGGATAAGAGGTCACTTCCTTTTTCTTAAGATTTATAGTAAGCAGTGAGTTTCACATTGCATATGTAATGTCCCTTTCTGTCCTTTCGGGTATTAAAGAGTTGAAGAAATTTTCTTTGGTTCGACTTCTTCGGAATGGATGAGTCGGATTGACCAAAATACCAGGGCTTCACAGAATACCGGCGTTAAACAAACACAGCGTTGTGTTTCGTCGTGTGTGTGATATTACCGTAGGCCCAATCCTGCGTCTCCCCCAATCCTTAAATCTTTGAAACCCTAATATACAACAGGCCACATCGCGCTCGTAACTCCTCTGGTGCTGCTGGTGTCCGTGAGCAGCTCTGATTGCTTACCATCAGGTAATGCGATTGCTCGTTTGCACATTCACATTGAAAAGTTGAAGCAATTCAGAATACGATCCTGAGACCAACAAATCAGTGAATACAAGCACATCTTTGATACAAATCTGATTTTCAGCTAACAATCTAAAATAGAATTTAAGTAAAAGAATTTAAAGGTCATTACCATTCAATTTGAATATCTAGACCGAATTTCAAGTAACGATTTGTACAACAATCGTGTTCATCAATTAAATTAGATTATTTTTTAAATGTCGCCGCTAAAGTCTTAGAAAGCATTTAGTAAATTAATTGCTCTAAAGATAACATTTAGGCTTAATGAACTTTAGTTAATAAAAATTAAATAAAAACGTTGTGCAAATTGTCAGAGACAGAAACTAAAAAGGTCTTCACTGGCGTTACAGAAACAGAAAAATAAAATTGTTTTACTGTTATAATAATCTGTTTAGTTTCAAAATATGTTTTGTTTGATACGTTAACTGCTCGCTAGGCGTAGTTGCAACTGTACTTTAAAGAGCCAATAGATCACTACTTACAGATGGTGCCCAACAGGCCCGATGTTCATCCAGAGTGGCGGGGCAAGCGCACTAAGGTACCGTGGCCTCGGTCTTGACTGAAATCTTAAGAACGTGTGGGTTTTAGTCAGTAAGAGTCTGTCACTCTCTCTCGCCTTAACTTGGGCAAAAGAAGTCATTTGACAATTCCCCCACCCCTAGTGGCACTGTTACGACTATTTGACGATTACATAATATGGTGATAATACTAAATCAATTTGATATAAAACTCTTTTAAATTTATTAAATGAACAAAAAGTCGCAGACAAAAAGTAGATTTTGAACAATAATTATCACCTAAGAGTTGTTAAAAGAATTTGAATTTCAAAGAAATTTTACTTAATATTTTGACTCTAAAACATTACTTTAGATTTTAGTTTTCTTGAATAGGGTTGTACCTTGTTAGTTTATTAAGACTTTTGTAAAGTGAATTAATTATTTTATTTTGTGAAGAAGTTTTGTTTATTTATAATAATTAATATTATGCAAAAGTTATTTTAAGTTTGAAAATAATTATTATTCGTATTGCTTATTTTTGCAAAGTTATGTCTGTTTTATTTGTGTAAGTACAATTCGTAAGTGCCAATGCAATCATGGACTCAAATTTCATTTTACTTTATTCATTGACCAGTTTGACGCCAGCCTAATTTACCTTCGAACAATTTATATATTTCGTAAGATGCCTCTCAGTTGGGCTTATATTTTTGATGAGGATAATTAAAAACAATATAAAATGTCCTGTAAAAATAATAACATCTAATCTTGACATATTTTTTGTATAGGTTCACTAGAGTCCACCGCTTATTCAGTGCAGAACAAACGATAAAATTGTTTTCTTTGTATATAATATTAGCAGTTACCTACCCTGGTTTCGCATGGGTACAATACTGATACTACATTTTTTTCATTATTTCTTCAATCACTTTATCTAATAAAATAAACCGCATTAAAATCCGTTGTGTAGTTTTAAAGATTTAAGCATATAGGGACAGAGAAGGCGACTTCGTTTATAAAATTATAACTATGTAATTAATTATTCTTATATCTAAATAAGGATAAACCAGTTCAATGTTCCATGAGCTTAATAGCGTTTTAGATATTAATTCAGTGTTTAATTGATTCAATGAACATTTCAAACGCAACACCCCTATTCATTTGGCTTTAATTCTACGAACTTAATTTTGAAAAGAGATTAACGTTGCTACTTATATGAATAGTGCAATAGCAATTTCCTGCAGATTTTTGGTATCGTATGTCCTTTCTCGAGTTCCAAACTATGTCTATACCAAATTCCACAGAAATCGGTTTAGTAGTTTAGGCGTGAAGAAAAGACAGATAGACAGACAGAGTTACTTTCGCATTTATATTATAAAGTATAGATAAAATAATATTTGTAGCAAAAACTTAATAGCTATAAAAACCATCAACAGATTGAACATCTATCAGAAACATTTAATAAAAATAAATTTAAAAATCCCTGTTACTTTAATCGCCTTGATAGCATCGACTGTGAAAAGTAAAATGGATCCAATGAAGTATAAAAAATACAGTTTTTCTTTTAATATTTATTTTTTTAGTAGTTTGCGGTCTACGGTACAACTTTAAGCTGTCAAACGCCGTTGAAAATATTGAAAGTGACAACCCTATTCTGCTTTCGAGTGTTCAATTAAAAACAAACCTTTTTACACTTAAAATAAAATCAACTCTTGTTTATCACAAATTGAAGTACAAAATCTCCTTTGAAATGAAATATTTTACACAAAAGGTGTTTTAAAAAGATGAAAATTACTTTCTGATATTATTGAAATGGAAAACTTTTGGTGGGTATTGAACTGGCTTTATTGAAGGGTGCGATATTAAAATTTTATTCGTATAGTTATAAGTGGTTGGTTCAGACGAGGTGTATAGTATTTTTAGCATTGCAATTTTAGTAAACATTATGCGGTTAGGTTTAAAACATAAAATCGATTCTCATCAATAGTAGAATCTAAGTTTTTTTTTAGTCGTGTATATTAACGACTTTTGTGTGTGTTTTTTTATTATTAAATAATGTATATATGTTTGAAGTTCAAGTTAGCCTGAATAGTGCAACTGTAGAGCCTTTGGGTATTACCAAAGGGATTAAGCGACAAAAAAAAATACTTAGACATAAATGGGGTAGGTTGCCAGACTTTTAATTTATTTAGTGTTGTTATATTCATGTGCGATGCCGATTGCTTATCAAAAGCAAGCGACACACGCTTGCCCCCTAACAAAAAAAAAACATCGACTCAACTAGAAAACAATACTATCATGCTGAAATACGAATACATATTTACATATGTATTATTTCCATGTAATATTCCGAAATCCATCGCCATACAGAATGATTCCAATCTCAGAAAAATCTTTCCTTACACAAGATTCACAGAGTCAATCCGATATATAAATCTTCGAAGCACATTTCTTTGGTAGAAGAAAGATGATGCCATCAACCAAATTGTACATCCAGAAAACCTCGTGGATATTAAATAATACAAGGAGAAAATATTACCGCGGAAATATCGAACGATTATAACGTACGGCGAAGTGGGAGTAGGGAAGAAAATTGCAGAAGGTTTACTTCCAAATCTACCAACTACTACGAGAGACGATCACCGGACCAGAATCAGACGCGCGCGCCTCAAAGAGCCAATGGACCGTTACAGACGGGACCCTAGAGCTGACGTTCAGCCGGGGCTGCGGGGTAAGCGCAATGAGGCACCGTGACCTCGGCCCAGAGCAGGAACAGGGGGGTTTTTAGTCAGTAAGAGTCTGTCACTCTCTCCCGTGCGACCCTGGGCGGGAGAAGTCATTTGATGATTACCCCTCACAAAAAAAACCTACTACTAGTCTCTGTTGTTATCTCATATGAGGAGTCTCTGACTCGTACAAATTCAGAATCACCCTGTTACTTCTCCTGCTCCGAACTGAACTGTTTCGCTGTACATTAGCGCTTGTACTCGCAATCCTTTTCTCGCCTCGACTTAGGCAGGACGCGAGAATGCTCTACCATGTCCTCCGGGTGGTTTTCACAATGACGACACCCAGGCGTTTTCTCCCACTGGACCGAACCTATCGAAGCTGGCGTGCTCGATAAGCACCTGCACAAATTGTTCCTGCAACCCCGAGTCGCTTTACAAAATTGAATGACGTACTTCGATAGCTGCACGGTTTTCGCGGTGGCTGGGCAACTGACTGCCGCGCAACGTGTCGCGGGTTTGATTCCCGCACGGAAAAACTTTTCTGTGATCAACAGATTCAACAATCTGTTGATCACAGAAAAGTTGACGAAGTCCACACACACTGATTGTTGTGCTATGTGAATTTGTATATTTGTAAACGCACCCACGATACAGAAAAAAATCCTAGTGGGGCAATGTAAAAAAAGACAAAAAAAATTGCTGTAAATAGGATTTTTTGAAAACCCAAATATATCAATATTATAGTTCAAATATATACGTATGTTTCGCGATACAAAACTTCATCCAACGAGGTAGAAAAACTTTAACTTCTGCACAATATTATTTAGCTTGTAATACTGTATCCATTTGTAAAAATTATTCCGCTATACGCTCGCATCATCAGTTTGAGTTATGACTTCGATAAATATGTGGAAACTTCACTTATTATTACGATATTTCCTGATTTGATACAGTTACTATGTTGCTATGTTAGGCGGAGGCTATCATAGAACCAATGAAGTCAGAATCATGTACGTTTTATGACTTGTAATGAAAATTTTCCTTTTGTTGTAACTTTAGTTTTAGGTTTAGTAGACTACCGAAATTACCGACGGTAGGTAGAATATATAAGGTTACTTCCAAAGTTATTCTATTAGTTCCAAGTATTGGATTTGCGTACTCATTACAATGAAGAACTGGTACAAATACTAATACATAACTAACTTTCTGAATCCTCTCCTGACTTCCTACAGATTTTTGTTAGTACATTGTAATTGTATAGAACCTATCCTTGTTATGTCCTTTCTCGAGTTACAAACGGTGTCTGTACCATCGGTTCAATAGTTTAGGTGTGGAGAAAAGACAGACACACTTGATTTGATTTATTAAATTTATGTGTACGCCTTATAATTATTTATTCCTTTGTTACAGTTCTATAACATATGGAAAGATAAAAACAAGCACTCAATAGATGAGACCCCAGAGCGCAAAGCTGAAATGAGCATACGTCATCAAATCATGGAGGGACTATACAATGTAAAACCAATGTTTCAAAAACCATTAGGAGTTTACTTATCTATGACGTGCTTCAGCAATTTCATTATAATGGCTATGTAAGTATTTTTAATATGCTTTGACGACAAAAAAGGCTATGGATTACCTGATGGTAAGCAATCGGTCCGGACACCATGGACCATGGTCACCCGCAACATCGGAGGAGTTATAAGCACGTTTCCGACCCATTGGGGACTAGGGTTTTGGAGATTTAGTGATAGAGGGAAGGGAAAGATTGGGCTTCTGGTAACCTACAAACACAACGCTGTGGTATTTGTGGCCGTGGTATCACTCCGGTCAAGCCGACTTATCGTGCCGCAATATGGTTCCTAGAAGATTTTAATTGAGAAGCTATAAGTATAAATTTAGGTGTGAGAGTACCTAGTAGTTTTTTGGCATGAATAGACTGGCTCGATTGGACGGTCTCATAGTCAAAAGGCCTGAAATAAAATACTTGTTGTATTTTACCACTGACCAAAATCTTTCCACTTCATATCCATATTAATACAACACCGTGCCCTTTGTTCGCCGAAGGAATAAGCAGATATATCTTTTTTTAAACTATAACCCTTTATGATTTTTTTCGAGTCGTGGGGTTTTCATGTAAATACATACAAAAACACATAAACATGTCACCCAAACTCGGAACAACAATTTAAAGCTCACACAAATAGTTGTTTCATGCGAGAAATGAACCTACTTCTAGTTATTGTTTTAAAATTTCAGGTACAACGTCTTAAGGCTATGGTTTCCTCAAGTATCAGCTATAGTAGAGAACAACCCACTAACAGACGGACAGGATCTATGCGCCGTGATAGATAAATATACAAGCAGCCTGAAACCTGTTATTTTGGCGAATACTACACTTACTGAAGAGATCTGTGTACCGGTAAGTTTTGTAAATTATTGGCAATATCCACCGTTATTTTTTTTTTTATGTAATTGGTCGGCAAACGGGCAGACGGATGACCTGATGGTAAGCAATCAGCGCCGCCCATGGACACCCGCAACGGAGTAGTTACGAGTGCGTTTCCGACCTTTTAGTGATTAGGGATTTGGTGATTTAGGGATTGAGGAGGGATTGGGGGCGGGGAAGGATTGGGCCTCCGGTAACCTCACTCACACGGCGAAACACAACGCTGTGGTTGTTTCACGCCGGTCTTCTGTGAGGCCTCACTCCGGTCGAGCCGACCCATTCGTGCCGAAGCATGGCTCTCCCACACTTAATTAATCATCAGTTATCAGAAATAATTAATGATTACTTACACTATTCCTCAGTAACGATTCTGTTCCGAAAGCAATTTTACTAATGACAGGACTTATTTATCAACAAATGGCATATACTCTTTTTTAAAACCTGTAATTCCATCCTATTAACAATAAAATTTAGGCGTTTAAATAAAATATAAAATGTATATATCACAAAATCAAAACTTTCTAAAATGAACTCTATCGTCATTTACTAATAGTACAATATTATTTACCTTACTTGATATATAATATATATATATAATATATATAAAGAGACGTCTAGTTTCTTTTATCGTCAATCAATGTACTAACAAAAAAATATTCAACAAAAAATCGCCTTTCCTTGCCCGTTTGACTGACTCCACAATGGAATTTCAATCAGTAATTGACGGCCAAAGTGACAACACGAATCACTAGCGTCAAATTATTTCATTTTATGTAAGAAAATCTTGACCTAATTTTGTTTATTGCGTAAAATAAAAATGGTCAAATTTAATGGTGTGTAAAATGAAATTTTATAGTGCTTTAAATGTATTTTATTAATGCATTTTCAAAAGCACATAATAAAATCTTTGATAGTGCACTACTGTTTTATGAGCCTCCACTGCATGGTCCGTTTATGTGATAAAACAAACAAGCAGACAAATCGCCTGATGGTAAGCAATCCTCCAGGGTTGAGGGCAAGTGCTATAAGTATATAAGTGCAGGCCGAGCCTGGAGCAGGAAAAGGAACGTAATAGATTTAAGTCAGATAGACTGATATGTCTCCTCTCGTCCAAAACGTTCTCAAAACAAGAAAGATAGTATATTAGCTGTCAGCGCCACCCATGGACACATGCAACCCTGGAGGAGTCACAAATGCGTTGCCTTTTGGGTTAATCTCCATGCCGGGTATTTGGTTTAAAAGTCGTTATTTTAGCGGTTATCTAAAAGTAAGCTACGGTATAGTCGTTGTATACTGTTTTGCCCGCGGTAAAACTAGATAAAACAAATGTCGTCACCACACAGCTAACCAAAATCACAACGATATTGTACCAAATAACATAGTTCGAACCAATGCTTCCCTGAAAACAGTAATAGCCACTGGGCTAACTCTTACTAAAACTAAGCAATATAGTTATGCAATATAGTTTGCGCGAGACAGGCGTGAATTTGCCAATGGATACGCAACGTTACGCCCGCGGGACGAAGCCCATCACCTGCGTTAATTGAGTAGGGACTGCGCGTATACGCCAGGCTAACTCGAGCTTTGATATCGAACACAACTTTGATCTGATTCTAGAACTTTACCTCTAAGATAATCAAAAAGTCTTTGTGTATTCTCTTTAGTGCTTTTTAGTCCCCGTTGGGGAAGACAAAGGACTATACATTATAAGTTACAATAACTTTTGCTAGGTTTTATTAATAAGAATGTACGGAGTAACTTTACGAGAGTTCTTGACTGGCTTCAAACCACGATTAAGGTTCATATTATGCATTATGCGCTTGTAAGCTTGTTTAAGACAGATTTTATTTGAATGCCCGCAATGCTCAAATTCGGCAGCCGAATCTTTTCAAATAAATACTTATTTAATTATTTTTATTTATAAATATGCCACTAAAAGGATCGAAAGAAAGGTTGAGCAATGTGATTAACCAAATAAACCAAATCCTAATGGGGTTGTGACTCCGACCCGGAGCAGGAGAAGGAACGGGATGTTTTTTAGTCAGTCAGAGTTTTATCTCCCTCATACCCCATCCAAGGGCTCAGAAGTCATTAAATAATTATCCCCCATAAAAAAATTACACAAAGTTGACCTTAAATACTACCTAAGTACCTAGAAATCTCAGAATGTAAATTGAACTAAAACTACTACTAGTCTCACAAAAATCCCAGGACGACTAGGAAGAATCCTTGACCCAATTCTATATTTAGATTTTACGAATAATACGAGAAAGCGTTCGAACATTTCCTATTAATAACCTACTATCTATTCACGTTACCATTGCACGCGAACGGCTTACAAAACCATCGCGAAGCCATGAGTACGATCGTTATTTTACTCAATACTACAATAAATTATTGTTCCAGCTACGAATATTGATTCTGATAATGTTATTGTAATTTTGAAGCTGAATCGTATGAGAATGTGTAATATTTTGGAAAAAAAAAATGTATTCACGGTACAAAAAAGACTCAAAATAATATCTTATTTAAAAATTGTGTATATGCAATATGTTTGTGTGGTATGAAAAAGAGAGATTACAATTTTTTTTTAAGGTTTTAGGACGGCAAACGAGCAGACGGTTTACCTGATGGTAAGCAATCAGCGTCGCCCATGGACACCCGCACCAAAGAAGGAGTTACGAGTGCGTTGCCGACCTTTTAGGGATTGGGATTTTGGGGATTCAGGGAATGGGGTAGGGGAAGGATTGGGCCTCCGATAAACTCACTCACGCGGCGAAACGCAACGTTGTGGTTGTTTCACGCCCGTTTTCTGTGAGGCCGTGGTATAACTCCGGTTGAGCCGACCCATTCGTGCCAAAGGATGGCTCTCCCACACTTTCTAGTTTTAAAGCTTCTTTTAAGGATTAAAAATCATTGTATTTCTTTTCTCGCCCAGGGCGAAGCGAGACGGAATGTCAGAGTCTTACCAACTAAAAATCACCCAGGTCCTTCTCCTGTTCCAGGCCGGGGCCACGGTACCTTATTAAGTTTGACCCTCAACCCCGTATGACTAGGTAAAGTAAATTAAATGACTAGGAAGTCGGTGAAGAGAATTAACATAGTAGACACATTTTCATCAACGCGCACAATACAGGCCCGGTGACACAAATTGAAGAAAAGACATTCCAAAATAGTAAAATCCAGATTTTCTTGACACTGTATTTACACTTCAAATTCCTATTCAGCATTACGATATTTGAAATCGAAAGTCAATTTCAATTTAAAATAATCATAAATTAATATTCAAACAAAGATATTGATTTCGATATTATCATATTTCGAACATGAACAGGGCTCAAGGTCACATAAAGCGTGCTTAGCAATAACTTTGTAAGGAGGAATGGATGTCTGTTTATCAATGAATTATTGTTTGGTTAGATATTGCAAGGGTTGAATTATATAGCTGTGACCTTGGAACATCGTTAATGGATGTAGGTTGATGGGGTTGAGGTAAAGTTCAATTAAAATGGTTTATGTGTGTTTTGCTTGGTAATAAATGGTATTGAGATTGACCTCAATTTGAATGGGGTATGCACTAGCACTGAGTGTAGGTAAACTAGAAATGATGAGACGAAGAGAAGAGGAGAGCAGAGAAGTTTACTCTGCCGTGATTGTCTCTGGGACAACTTTGAACCTGAGACATAATATAATAGTGACATAAAATCACCTATCGGAGCTGGATGCCTCGACGCTATAGAATTAACCAAAAGAAATGTTTAAACGAACTCAAGTCTATTTATTAATATATCTGTAAGAAATAAATACATACACGAGTATTACACTTTGAACAGGACCATCTATCCTCAAGTTGATCTTACTAGTCATAGTTAAGGTGTTATTGATTAGTGAGCAGGTATGCAAGAAAATAACGTGGGGAATAGTCCTTGATATTTTATAATATCATAAATCTTGTGAGCACCTTATAATACTACGCCTGGCATAATAAATTCTACGTGAATAACAATAGCCATTTATACCAAAAAATTCTTCGTAAAAAACAAAGTTTAATTTTTCCTCTACCTACGGTAATTTTTTTCGGGAACGTTTTTTCATTCTACTCGAAGTTAGGACAATGTTGCGGTATAAAAGGGTTATTTTGGTACCTTTTACAATGATTAAAGAATAATTGAATAGGGTTTTACAACGTTCGCCTTAAAAATTAAGAATTCAATGCAAAAATCTCGGTTGCTTCTAAGAAATTTTGTTTTTACTTCAAAACAGAAAATCTGCACTTGTTTTTCTACGAAGAATTTCAGTAAATTGCATTTCCTTAATACGATTATTATGTTAATATTTTCTTATTGGTTCTATAATGGAAACTGCGTTTATTCTGTTTGGTTTTGGTTCTGGTGGATACAAAACTATAAGATTTTATAATTCTCAGATTCTAACTTTTGCCTTTAAAATGTGGAATTTTAGATTTTTTGTACGTAGAACAATTTTATAATTCATAGGTATGATTTAAATTTGGGGAGCTTGGTTCTCGTTTAGCTGTCTGGTTTTACCCCAGGCTCCATCCCATTAGATTCTTTATTCTTTTTTAGCTTATTTAGCTTTTTCTATTTCAGACAAAAAGCGGTCACGAAACTTATATTAACAGCATCATCCTCGGTTGCGTCTGCATTATTCCCTACGTCATCACCGCTCTTCTAGTCAACAGGGTGGGCAAGAAACCGCTTCTCATTGGTGCAAGCATGATTTCTGTTGCAAGTTCTTTGAGTCTTCGTTGGGCTAGCAACAAGGTAGCGCTGGTATCGTTTTTCTCAATATCAGTAGCTATTGCTCAGTCAATGATCAGTTTAAATCAAGCTATGACTGTGGAAATGTTTCCTACTACGACAAGGTTAGTTAAACTATCAAAATTAATGTTTATTTTATGTTAGTTGTTTACGACTTTTGGTAATGTCCAAGACAAGATTGTTTGTTTACGTGTTAGACGTCTTTGTTTTTGTTTAGGTACTCAAAAGAAATTTAATAAAAATATATATTATCTTGCTTTTAATATTTTTCTGCTACATAACATAAATGATACAATATCCTTTGAATCCAAGATAGAAAAAATATAAAAAAGAAATATAAGGATATCAAATCAATTGTATGTCAAATCACAAAAAAACTAAGCACCCGTAATAGGCTTACAAAAGCCAAAGTCTACACTAGCGCCATTGTCAATCTTGCAAGTATTAAATGGAACACAATAGCTTTAGGTAGATATTGGTCTATTGTTCCGAGGGTCGGCAGAATTCTATAGACTGTATACAGGCCCAGAATAGCCACAATATAGTCCAGATATCATCTGCACGGGCCACGTTTACTAAAACGGTTCGTTTTGATAGAAATTAAGATAATCTTAAAGTCAATATTAATTTCAGCGAAGTTATTCAAGTAAACTCACCATTTTAATTATGTTACTAAGTAAATAATTAATAATTTCGATTTTGTAATTTGATTTTATGCGTTGATTGGAGTTTAATGTTTTGAATTAAGTTCGTAATTGTTTTCTCTGTTAGTCATTTCGATTTGTATGTGGTTTATTTATTTATACACACCTTATTGTACATCACGTAGTTATATGTCTATTACAGATTGAATTATAGTCATTTAAGTCTTGTTTACATGGACGGTTACGTTAAGTGTCACAAATTACAATGACAAGCGAGCCGCATCATCGCCTGTGCAAATGCAAACATAATTTATTATAATTAATTATAATATTTGAAACCATGTATAATGTATGTATGTTTAGTACCTAGTTTACATGTCAAAGAGTTGAAAAAATATCAAAATAATATCAAAAAACTCCACGGTACTATGGTTTTTTTAATTAATGAATAACTCTGTGTGTGGGTTGCATTGTTACATCCGATTTGATTTATAATGCCTGTGTACTATTTATTTTTTATTATAACCCAATAAAATAAAACTTAAAAAAGTATCAGAGCTTCATTTCATGAAACTCAAATTTTTTATCGCATTCTAATTCTTCCTCTAAATTATAGACGAATAAAGTCTAGATTTGTGTACCTAACATTAACAAATGAATTTACTGTGGACTCTTTTTTTTCAGAACTCTGGCTATATCAATGATTATGGTGATTGGTCGTATTGGAACGTTATCGGGTAACATAGTGTTCCCAATAATGCTGGAGATAGGCTGTGCCTTCCCATTCTATTCCATATCTGGGTGTATGGTTTGTAAGTATACCTTTAACGAATATTTTGGACAATTTATAAGAGCCTAGATAACTTGTATGTACAAATTTTGAATATAGAACGTGTGAATTATGGGCCACTTAAGTTTATTGGGTGCTAATATACAAGGCGATAGAACTGGTCCTAATAAATTAGAAATGAAAAAATTCAAGTAACAATTGGAGGCGATTGCTCGACTAGTTTCAAGTTACGATGAAGCTTTATAATCATAAGCAGCATGACCGATAGTCATCGTGTCTGTATCTGCGACATTAATGTGTGATTGAATGTGTTGTGTGAATTTGTGATTATGAATCGTTGATAGTATATATTTGTAAATACATTCCCGACACAGGAGAAAATTCTAGTATGTAATATTTTTTCAACAGTTAGTAATTAATTTATATATCTTATCTAATTAATTGTGTATTTTGTTACAGTGGTCCTGATCGTAGCGCTCTTCTTACCAAGCAAGAAGCAGTGATATTCCAATAAAAAAATCGTGAGGGATAAGCAGAGCAATATCTTACATCTCTATCTTTCGACGTTCTAAAAGTACCTATTTATAGTGGGGATAAATGATTTTGACTTTGACATTATTGCCAAAGTCTTTTACATGACATCAAATTATTACTTCAGTGATATGAAAAATATATTATTATGTATAATATGTTAATGGAATATGTTTCCAGGCATGTAATAAATGTTCGAAATATCACTTGTTATTGGCGGAATATTAGAAATAAAGAAAATAGTTTTTAAAAAGAAATTGAAGTGTCAAATTATTATCCAACAGAAAGTATCTCAGATCAGATCTAGAATAAGGCTTTATTTATGTTTAAAAAATAATATTGTGAGGATTAATCATTTTAAAATAATACATACATATACGCATGTATATCCCATTTATTTATTCGAAATAAAATTATGAAACAACTATGTAGAGTACCTATCCACTGTAAAAATGTAAATAAATTCTATTTTTTTTAATATAAATAAATAAATCAATTAATTATTGTGTTTCATTCCATTTTCAAACTTACTGAAACCGAATAATTTGCGACTGTAAAATAAAATAGAAATAAATTAAATAAGTAAATGAATTGCATAGGCGTATGCAATCAAAATAATTCACGAACTGATGCACAGATTGAATAGGCTTGCATCATATATTTAAATGTGGTCGTGGTGGCCCGGAGGTTAAGTAACCAGCTTCTCATGCATGAGGATGTGGGTTCGAAACCTGGCAAATACCAATGTGACTTTTTCCGAATTATAAGGACTTTCTATGATTATTTAGACACCACTGACATACGGTGAAGGCAAAACATCGTGAGGAAACCTGGACTTATAATTTCTAATTATAAGTTTGAAATCGCCAACCCGCATTGAGCAAGCGTGGTGATTAATACTCTAACCTTCTCCGTGTGAGAAGAGGCCATTGCTCAGCAGTGGGCACTTATAGGCTGATGATGATGATGATGATATATTTAAATGTGATTACGTTCTATTCATCTACTTCAGTACCATAACTTAATAAATCATTGCATTATATTTGAAACCGGAGACCCGCCTCAGGTTCGAACCCTTTTATTTCCCGATTTTGCCAGTAGCCAGTACCTGAATGTGTCAAATTTGTGTTTTGTTCCATGAAATAAAAGTTTTTTAATCCATGTAATAGTTATTCGACAAAAAAGGATTATTCATTTTTGTCGAGTATGTAGGAAGTTATAGTTGAAAGTGCATTAAAATAATATATATCAAACTACTGTCGTGACGCTTCTCATGTTCTTGAGAGAACCCTTATTCGTAACCTGGCATGTTTCAAAGCCACGAAGATCGCAGCTTAAAAGGAGGTAGGAGGTATATCACTGACTGCCGGGGTTGCTAGGCTATAGGCTCAGCCGAGGAACCACGGCCTCGCCTAAAGTAGGAGAAGAAACGGTGAGTTTTTAGTCACTAAGAGTCTGACACTCCCTCTTGCCTCACCCTGAGGATATATGATGATTATTCCCTTACAAAAAAAAAGTATATCACTGACTTTGAATACCTCGTATCTGTTGAATATTCCCCTGGTTTCGCTCTTAAGATACCCTCAGCAAAGGTTAAACTAACTGGCTTCAAATATGTGTTCTACCTGACATAACACATGGTTTAAAATAGTATGGCAGCACTATTAAACTAGTAAATTCAGATGTTACAACTCAACATAGTATGTCAATTCAGTGCTTTAGACGATACAAAGGCTGTCAAGTCAGTCAAGAAGACAGTAGAGCTAAAATATCTCATTTATTCAAATAACAATGCCACGTTTTGCTAGAGAAACAATTGTAACGAAGACAAAAGGGGCTAGTAATTATTTAATAGAATAAATTATTTCAACTGAAGGCATTTGCACCTGACATACTAATTAGGTCAGGTCGTAGGGTTACTCCTGTTAATTATAAAATTAATATTGTATTATACTGGGCTGAGCGTAAACCAGCTGTAAGTGTGGACGGTAGTATAATTGGGACGATTAATAAAAAAATGTTGCCGACATATTTATTAAGCGTTTGTTCGTTGATCTTTGATTGAATTTAATTAAAAATAAAGCGTAAGATATTAATGTTTGATTTGAAATAGTATTTTTGCATTAATTTATTTATAACTAGCTGTGCCCCGCGGTTTCACCCACGTTTTTGTCGTTTCCGTGGAAATACCGAGATAAAATATTGCCTATATGTATTATAGCCTCCCTCAATAAATGGACTATTGAATATTTAAACAGTTTTCATAATTATCAGATCAGCATTTCCCGAGATTACCGCCTTCATAACAAACAACCAAACTTTTCATGTTTAGGTATAATATTAAGAAAAATACTTAGTCGGGTCATAAGTTCTGTCAAAACCTTATATTTTTAATTTTCGATTACTGGCCAGAAATTCTTCGACTTATTTTAAAAATAGAACTTTCGCGCTTGTAGAAAATAAAAAAGAAATTATTTTTTATTCATTTTTAAATATGGAGTGGTCGAATAAAGAAGACAGAATCGCGGTTATCGCGTTGCACCGCTGTGGTTACGCGCCAAAAGACATTTTCAATATTCTTCAAAATTTGAAAATAACGTTACGGTTTGTTTATCGTACTATCAAACGATACACCGAAGAGTCAAGCTTCGAAGATCGTAAGAGAAGCGGCCGACCTCGCACAGTTCGGACACATAAGGTCATCAAAGCAGTGAAGGCGCGAATCGAACGAAATCCCGTACGTAAACAAAAAATCCTAGCTCTGCAGATGGGGCTAAGCAGAACCACTGTTAAAAGAGTACTAAATGAAGACCTGGGACTACGAGCTTATCGTAAAAAGACAGGACATTTTTTGAACGAGCGTTTAAAAAAAATTAGGCTAGACAGATCCCGCGCTTTGCTACGACGGTACGCGGGAAAAAAATACCGCGAAATTCTTTTTTCGGATGAAAAAATTTTTACTATTGAAGAAAGTTTTAACAAACAAAATGATAAGGTGTATGCCCACAGCAGTGAAGAAGCAAGCGCGCGTATTGCGAGGGTCCAGCGTGGGCATTACCCTTCCTCATTCATGGTTTGGCTTGGAGTCTCATATTCAGGCGTAACTGAGGTGTTTTTCTGTGAAAAAGGTGTGAGAACTAGTGCCGAAGTTTATCAAAATACTGTCCTAACAAACATAGTGGAACCTCTTTCTCAGACAATGTTCAGGAACAGGCATTGGATATTCCAACAGGACTCTGCACCGGCTCATAAGGCACGAAGTACGCAAGACTGGTTGATCGCTCGTGGAATTGACTTCATCCGGCATGAAGACTGGCCCTCTTCTAGTCCAGATTTAAACCCACTGGACTACAAGATATGGCAATATTTGGAGGAAAAAGTCTGTGCTAAACCTCACCCGAATTTGGAGTCTCTCCGAGCATCTCTGGTTAAAGCAGCGGCAGACATAGATATGAATGTGGTGCGTGCAGCGATCGATGACTGGCCGCGTAGATTAAGGGCATGTGTTCAAAATGGGGGAGGGCATTTCGAATAATGTAAATAAAATTATATTGTACATTTAATGACCTTTCATTTCATATATAATTTTTAAATAATTGTCAAAAGGCGTATAAGTTACTACATCAAAAGTTTGTGACAGAACTTATGACCCGACTAAGTATAGATTAAGTTAAATTGTATAAGTCAAGTAAGCAATAGCTGTTTATCTGTTCGAAATTCAGTCAGAGTAAGAATTACGACTACAGGCGGGGAGTGTCCGTCCACTTTAAACCGGGTTCAAATATCATTTTAAAGTACTTCTGAGTAAATTATATTTTTTGTTTTATTTTCTGAATTGGATTAAAATGTAAAGGTACTTTTCCGTCTCCAACTAAAAGTAACTTCAAAGGAAAATTTGTACTACCTCCTCCCAAATATGCTCTCATGTCCGTAGATAGTTTTAAGGTATGAACAAATTTCCACAATAGAGAACTATTAAGGCAATTTTTTGCAATGTCTACTTTAGTTCCTCTTACTACTACTGGTAAAGTTTGCCGAAAATCCCCAGCAAACATGACAGTAATCCCAACCATGATTTTATCACAGTCTCTAATATGTATCCTATCTAGAGCCTCTACATGAGCTCTATGAATCATGGTACATTCATCCCAGATTATTAAAGTGACATCTTACAAAACTTTGCCTAAAAGGCCATTTTTCTGTAACGGAACGGTTAGGTTATGTTAGTTTAAAAGTGTAATGAGCTGTGCGTACGCCAGCTAATATAGTAGCAGCGATTCCAGATGACGCTACTGCCAAAGCTAGTTTTCCCTGAGACCTTACTTTTGCTAATATCATATTAGTAGCTAATGAAAGTTTTGCCGGTTCCGCCTGGACCACCAAAAAAAATATTTTTCCCTCATTGAAACAACACCGAGCATAACACTATTGTTTGCCATTACCTGGTCATTAAAGAACTTGGGTGCATTTACAGTAATATACTCGTTTAATTCATTTAAATCGTATGGCTTCCGCAACGACATTTCCAAATTAAGAGGTATGTTTTTCCTAGGATTTCCTTTTCCTTAGCAGAGTTAGTTTAGAAATGTATTTCTTATACTCTTCAAACATCTTATACTTACAATCATCAACAAATATATTACGAAAAATATTATTACAGGATTTTATGTTGATAAAAAACTCTATGGTCCATAAGTCATTAATAAGGTACCAACTCTTAACATCTTACACACATGATAACTTTTAAACGATTGAGAGATTGAGAGGAAATAAAAAAGTATTTTAAAATACTTCTAAATAAATACTCTTGATAACATAATGCTTAATTCCGATAAAGAATAATATTACGATACCATATTTAACGCTTTTTTCCTTCAGACGATTTAATAATTATTTTGAACACAAAATCGGTTATTGTGATTAAACCATGATAGCTAGATATATGCTCTCGCGGACTTTTTGTAGGTTTTAATAGAATCTACAAA